AAAAGGTTTTTGTAGCTTTTTGATTAGCTGCAGAGAAATTGTTGACTAAGAAAACAGTAAAAAGTTCTGTTTTCCTCTGATATTTTGAAATTACTTACAAAATCAACTAAACAGCAGATATTTGTATGTATTTAAATGTATCTTAGTTTGCTAAAATTTTTTGCATATCTAACAGCCTGCTTAAGTTATACCCAAAATCTTTTAACTAATACAAAAAAAAAAACGTATTGACAGTAAAACAAACCACTTCAACATCGTTTAAAGCTGTACCTTCTTTCCTTTTTTTTTTTTTGCAAGTTCAACATTTCAAGTGACCATTGAAAACAACTAAAAATTTTAATTAGCCTATGAAAACCACTAAAGTCTACACAAAAACAAGACATCTCACCACTGAATTTTGTCAAAAACCATAAAATTTTTCAACTCTAATGACTGTTGCTAATTGCCGCTTAGACAGCCAAAAGTTTCAATTGTTAGTGACGACAAAGACGGTTTTGCCGGTTTTAACCAAACGTTGTATCCGTCATTCAACCATTATATTTTCCGAAGCTTTTAAATTCAACAGTTGTCAGTAAAAATAGCTCAACGGACGTTCCACAATCAAATCAGTGAAAAAAAAACTCATCGGTTGTCCATTCTGAACCCTAATCATTTTTCAAAAGTCATGATTTCTAGATACAAAAATGAAAATTTTATTTTGCTTCCTTTTTTAGATTTTCATTTACGGTGACTGATCTTCATAACAATTTGTATAAAAACTTAGAAACAGCGTTAAACACAATAATTTGTTTCTAAAAAAAGACACTGATATGATACCAATTGGCTCAAAAATAATTTTGGCCATTATTTAGTAAAACTTTTTTTTGTTTCAGTACCAGTCGATATACGCACTTGTCTAGAAAACTTTCATTTGCACTATTCCTTCTCGCCAATGTTATGCCCTCCATTGATAACGGTCTTTGCTTCGCCTCGAAACAGTAAAAAACAGAAGATTACCCTAATTAACGAAGTTTAAACTACTAACAAAATCACTCTTCATATTTTCAGTGACCATTGAACAAAGTTAAGTGGCATTAGCTAAAAACAAAAACAAATATTAAAAAAAACGAAGCTCTCTAAAAAAAAATTCTCGTAGCCCCAACAAAAAAAAGTGCAATTTTCTCTGAAATTTTCCTCTCGTACTGTACCTCACTATTCATCACATATATTCTTCTCCTTATCGTCAACCCATTTTCATTTTCCAATCTTAAAAAATATCATATTTGTAAAACAATTACAAGGTTCAAAATCTAAAAATTCAAAAGTTATCCTTTTGTCATCCGTTAAAAATGTTGCAGTTAGCTTCATTAATATGTAAATATAAATAAATATACATATACATCAAGCTCAGCCCAGAAAAGCTCTGAAAACGTAAGAAGAAAAATGCTAAATTTAAGATCTATACATAAGTTTTCGACTGCCGTATCGACTCTCACAAATCAACGTGCAAAGAAGTATCTCAGTTTACCTAGTTGGTTTAAGATTGCTAAAGATAACAGACTAAAATTGTCAAAACTTAAACAGACGTATATGAGGTAGAAATGCACATTTGTTACCAAAGCTTTGTTCGTCACGCAGGCAAAACTGAGAGCAAAAAAAAAAAAAAAAAAAAAAAAAAAAAAA